TTTTGTCTTACGTCAGTAGTATCAGAGCTTGGTAGACGATTAGAATAAGGCTTTTGAGGTGAGGTTTGAGATGATAAGAGTCCTACAAGAAATACTCTAGGACGTATTGGATTTCTTGAATTTTGTAAATGATATTCCTGGGCAACAACCACCTTTGCCCATGTTCATGTTGCTACCCCTGTAAATTCGGTTTCAGTGCATTATCATGGACATCTTGATGATTATGATGGTTATAAAGTCAATGTAGCGATTCCTATTTTCAGTGGGAGTCTAGATGCCTTCCTTGACTGGTTAAATGAGAGAGGTTTTTTGAAATCATGAAGGTTATCGAAGAACGTGAGGTTGTAATTATTGCATGCAAACTTAAGGGAGTAGAAGAAGTGTGGTGTCAAATTGTACATGATGAATGTTATAGGTTGAGACAGTCACTCATAAGGACTGGATCATGACTAAAGAATCGTTACAGCAACGATTTCTTCCTAGAGTATATGCAAGCATTGTACCGAAAGTTTTTGGACTGTAGACAAGGAAATAATTCAGGGGCTGTCTATATTGAGGAGTTCTTGATGCTACAATCTTGTTGTGATGTAAGGGAGGCTCGTAATCAACAGTTGATAGGGTCTGTAAGGGGATTGAAGTATGAAATTTAGTACAAAATGGGGGTCCAGCCCATTTATTCATTGATAGACGATAGTGATGTTGAGTTTCGAGCTGAATCATTACTTGCATCAATAAAGCTATTTGTACAAAGTTGAGTTACAAAATGTGTTGGCAAAATTTACATCGTTGATTTCAAATGATTTAAAAATCTGTTTGTAAAATGATTGGTGTAGATGTTATTTTGTCAACCAACTTTGTAACCCAACTATGTACATGTAGCATAACTCTTACTCGCATAGCAGTAACAGAGATTAGTATATGTAGAGCACCAAGAAGGTCGCTTCCACCCCAGATTGAGACCTAACTATCTGCAGTCAACAGTGAAGCAAGACCAAAATGAGCTATTCTGGAGGAAAATTGAATGGTAGAGCAGAAAACATTCCGTATACAAAGCCTATTGTTAGGGAAGTGTTTTAGGTGAAGAAGATGAAGAGGAAGAGTGCATCGATGAAGTGTGTGGAGAAGAACAAGGAGACTTTGTTGTGTAGAAAATTTTATGGACACCCAAGCGAGAAGAGTTGACTTAGCTTGGGAAGACCTTTCAAGTCAATTGTCAAGTTAGTAATGTTGTTTACGGTCAGATCATAGATAGTTGTAGATGTGAAAGTCTGATCGCCAAGAAATTGGTGGATCATCTAAAGCTGCCAATCGAATCACATCCAACTCCTTATTAGATTGGTTGAATAAGAAAGGGCACATCTAATTAGGTGACTCAAATTTGTGAAATATTTTTGTCCATGGGGACCTTTTATAAATCAGAATTTATTTGCGATGTTGTGATGATTCATGTCATATTCTATTGGGAAGATTGTAGTAGTTTGATGTGGATGGCGTAGATAGGGAGTAGAGAGAACACCTACATGTTTAGGTGAGAGGATAAAAATATTACGATTATGAGAACAGGGTGTGCACATAAGCCTCTAAAGTGGAACAGAAATCTTTTCTAACTTGTATAAAAACGATTGTAGCCGTAAATATTGTATAGACGAAGAATAGCTTCCTAAAATAGTTTCTTGCATCTATATATCTTGTACTCTGTATTATGGAATAAATATAGAGAAAAATTACGTTTGACATGGTATTAAAGCATGATCTTGGGTTCCCTGTTTTTTGATCAAGCATGGGCCAGATTTTGCTTGGCATCCATGGCTGACTCCATCGAAACCATCCTTAATAATCTGACATAAAAAATGACGGAGGTCTTAACAAGGATCCGAACCTCTCCTTCTCCTTCACCCATCACTGATTCCCTGATGGTTCCAATTGGCATCAAGTTAGATGGTTCCAACTATGGCTTATGGTCCCAGGTTGTTGAGATGTACATTTCTGGAAAAGACAAAGTGGGATACATCAATGGAGACTACCCCAACCACAAGAAACCAACCCCTCCTTTTGTAAGTGGCGCATTGAGAAAGTCATGGTGAAAGGCTAGTTGATCAACTCCATGGACCAATCCTTGGTCGTGAACTTTATTCGCTACCCAAAGACCAAGCAGGTATGGGATTCTGCTGCCACAACATGCGTTGATGGAATTGACACCTCGCAGGTATACGAGCTTAGATGTCATGTATCTCAAATGAAACAAGTAGGTAGATCTATAGAAAAATACTATAACGATCTACAAGGTTTGTAGTGAGAGATCGATTTTCGTCGTCCAAATTCAGTGGGATGTGCAACTGACATACAATCCTAGAACTCCATTCTACAAGAGAAGCGATATACACTTTTCTTGACGGACTAGATGATCATTATGTTCGGGTGATGTTCTACGCTTGAAACCTTTTTCTTCAATTGAATAGGCATATGCTCACATTCGAATGGAAGTTCTCCGACAATCTGTGTCATGAAACGGATCGCGAGATAATGACAACAATGAAATAAAGAAAAAGAAAACAAGAACACAAGAATTTACATGGAAACCCAATTCGGGAAAAAATCATGGGCAGATGAGAACAGTCCACTATAATCAATAGTTTTGTGTTTACAATAGTAAGATTTCAATAATCTCAATTAAAATCTAAGCTCTCAATCTCTCTATATGTTGTTGAATATGTAGAGAATATAATGAGAATGCTTTTCCTGCGTTTTTNCGGGAAAAAACCACGGGTAGAGGAGAGCAATCCACTATAATCAATAGTTTTCTATTTATAATATCAAGATTTCAATAATCTCAATTGGAATCTAAACTCTCAATCTCTCAATATGTTGTTGAAGATGTAAAGAATATTAAATAAATGTTGTATTATGGAGATACAATGTGGTTATAGATAAAACCTCTTATTTGAGTCCAAGATGGAAAATGAATCTAAAATATGCCTTTAGCCATCCAAGAATCCTCTTTCAAGCCAAACTCATAATTACTATTGAAATTTGATCTTCAATCATTTTAGAACTTTACAAAGTCAGATGCCTTAGATTTCCTCCAATCAATCAAATACCAAATCACATGAAATTTGGATCACAACACAACAATCTGTGATGATATCGGGAGTGGAAACAGTGGCTAGTGGTGCTGTTGTGGCCATCAAAGGCGTGAAATGTGGTCAGTCACAAACTTTGCTGAATTCTAGGTCATATTCACGATCCAAGGGTCATTCTGATGGGAATAAGTGCACCTAATGTAGGAATACAAAACATAATCGAGACACCTACTTCAAACTACATGGCTACCCAGACTGGTGGCATGAATTACAAGCCCAAAGGAAACGAAATGCTCATACTAAAGCCATCCTAGGTCGAGCAACGGTGGCCGCGACTAACTCTCGACTATCCCTTATTCCCATGATAGAACTTTCTACCTCAATCCCGGATCAAGGTAATTGTGGTCAAGTTTTTTGAAGCTCTACTACGCAGAATGATGGTGGCTGGATTATCAACTCCGGAGAGATAGACCATATGACATTTGATCCAAATGAGTTCTGCAACACAACTCAGCTAAGGAGGACTTGCATTGCCAATGCCAATGGGGCAACTCATCCAGTCACAGGGGCTGGAAGCGTACCCCCTGTCTTGTTCTCTCTCTCTGTAACTCTCACGCTTCTTGTTCCATCACTCTCCAAT